ATGCATCCCTGCATCCATGCATCCCTGCACCCACATCCCTGCATCCATGCATCCCTACATCCCCACATCCCTGCATCCCTGCATCCCTGCATCCCTGCATCCCTGCATCTCTGCATCCCTGCATCCCTGCATCCTCTCACTTCCTGTAATCCCTGCATCCCTACATCCCCACATCCCCACATCCCTGCATCCCTGCATCCTCTCACTTCCACATCCCTGCATCCTTGCATCCCTGCATCTTCTCACTTCCACATCCCTGCATCCGTGCATCCCTGCATCCTGTCACTTCCACATCTCTGCATCCCTGCATCTCAACATTCTCACTGATGTCATCATACCACGTGTACAGCCACACAATTGCTAGGTGTCCTGCATTACTCTATTATATTTATATAAATGCACCAGCAAGAGAATTTGTAATATATCACGCTCAAAATCTGAAAAAAATTCTAGTTGTTTAATTCGATGTAAAGTCACAAAATGATATCTGACTCATACAGTCTGACCAGGATACTTGCATTCTAGTGGCCTCCCACTTTTTCTCCAGTATGAGTCTCACAGTGACTTACCACTGTACCATGAGCATATGTATACTGAGAATAACTTAGTAAACATTAAAAAATAGTTCATGGACTTTTTGCACACCTACCTTTGCAGTTGTTCCTTAGTGTATCTTACACCTTGTCTCAATCTGGTTGAATTTAGTTTGGTGAGGAAGTTAAATGTGAAGAGAGCGAATCTGGCAGTACAGCGCAGACAACATAAACACGATGTTCATTCTAAAAGTGCTGGCACCCCTGACAAACTGTTGGTACGTATACTATAGTCATATCATGAAAATATGTTTATAATATTGTGTACAAGTATATATATATGTATATTTATTTATTATTTATGCAAGTATTGTATAGACATGTTCATGATTATAACTGTCATAGAAGGAATAATTGTTACATGAATAATATATGAATAGACTAGAGGGTATTACCTACTATGAAGCAAGCATTGACACATTGTTGTGGCTGAGATCTGCAGAAAACAAGCGTGACGTTACAGGTAATGGATGCTTCGTGTCAGGAGTGATCCCAGCATTACAGATAGAGGTCGCTACGTATCAGTGCTGCTCCTGGCATCACAATAAGGGAGTGCTACATACCAGGGCTAACCCAGGGCTGCACCTGGTATAGTAGATGAAGGATGCTATATATCATAGAGTGATGCTATATATATAGAGGGATGCTATAGATCATGGTTGGTGACTATCTCTGTGCTGTGTTCGTAGCTGCAGGAGATCAGTATGGCAGAGAGAGTGTTGCACGCTGAGCATGAGGAGGCGTTGACCAGCCTGCGTCAGACCCTCGCGACAGAGACACAGCAACTGCTGAAGGAGCAAGATCAACGATTAGCTGCTGTTATCGGCCGTCTGCAGGTATACTTCTCACGCAATAGTTCCTACATACCCTGATCTTAATCCTAACCATTCTTACCATCATTGGTCATTAGGGACATACTCCATACTCCTCACACAATATTCCCTACATACCCTAATCTTCATCCTTATCATCAATGGTCAATAGGGACACACTCTATACTCGTCACACAATATTCCCTACATACCCTAATCTTAATCCTTATCATTCTTATTATCAATGGTCATTAGGTACACACTCCATACTTCTCACACAATATTCCCTACATATCCTAATCTTAATCCTTATCATCAATGGTCAATAGGGACACACTCCATACTCGTCATGCAATATTCCCTACATACCCTAATCTTAATCCTTATCATCCTTATTATCAATGGTCATTAGGTATACACTCCATACTTCTCACACAATATTCCCTACATACCCTAATTGTAATATTAATCCTTGTCATCAATGGTCAATAGGGACACATTCCATACTCCTCACACAATATTCCCTACATACGCTAATCTTAATCCTAATCCTAATACTAATTATCCCTATCATCAACGGTCAGCTACAAGGACATGCCCCATACTCCTTATACTGTAATCGTAATCCTAATTGGAGAAGCTAGGTTAGGTACATGACTAGGAGCTTCACGTCTGATAAATGCAGTAAATACTTACACTCATGGCCCATGCAAATAAGTGATCACTGTCCACATTACCTGTTACGCATGTCTGGTGTTGTAGGTGGGAGTATTTACGCAGTCACTCAGCCATTCAGCCACAGGATAACACGTTCGGTGTGATTTGTAGTTCAGTGTTATACACCCGGCACGAACACAGTCACAGTAACATGTAAATGAGTGATTGTGACCTGTATAGCACGTGGTTGGTGTGTTGTAGGTGGGAGTATTAATGTTGGTGTGTTGTAGGTGGGAGTATTAATGTTGGTGTGTTGTAGGTGGGAGTATTAATGTTGGTGTGTTGTAGGTGGGAGTATTAATGTTGGTGTGTTGTAGGTGGGGGAGTATTAATTCTGGTGTGTTGTAGGTGGAGAGTAATTAATGTTGGGTGTGTCGTAAGGTGGGAGGTATTAATTGTTGGGTGTGTTAGTAGTGGGGTATTTTAATGATGTTGAGTGTGTTGTGAGGTGGGAGTATTAATGTTTGGCCATGTGTTGTATGGTGGAGTATTTATGTTGGACCGCGATGTGTTTGTAGGTGGGGGGGGTTATTAATTTGGTTGTGTTTGTAGGTGCGGAGTAGATTCATGTTGGTGTGTTGTAGGTGGA